TCCCGGCAGAGCATCTGGTGGATTCGAACCGTGTGCCTCTGGGATTATAGTTGCAGCTCCTTGCCACTAGGCCACCAGAGCGCCCCTAGATAAAGAAATTTTTAAGAAAAATTTGAAGAAATTTTGATGGATAAAAAGGATGTTTTGTCATGTAACATGAGAGGAAATGATCTATGACTTCTATTGCCTCAAATTCACAGGTGGTCTAATTCAGTGCCTATCTTCATAACCAAGGGAAACAATACATTTCAGTCAGAGGTTTGTGAAAATAAAGATGTCATTTCCTTTAACTCAAACTCCAGTCCCCTTAATGCTATCACAGGGGTCCACAGACCTGGGTGAGGAGCCTCTGCAATGAGTCAGTCAAGACTCCTTCATGATGACAGAAGTATAGATAATAGTCATCTCCGCCTTCCCAGAGAAGGCAGCTGTGGGAGGGAGTAGGGTCTCCAGGTGAGGCGGGGGCACTGGGCAGACTGCCACAACCAAACCTCAGAACTACTCACTGACAGTATTGATTTCCAGGGCTCCGAATATCAGAAAGTCAGCCTTTTGCTTCCGCAGTTCATTCTTGAGCATTGCTGCCACCTTATGGCCTTTGAAGATCTGATGGGGAGGCTCATTTTGAACAAAAAATACCATCTTGGTGCTGCAGAGACATGCAACAGTATGAATGAGCTGAAGCTGGCAACAATAGCAGCAGCTGCTGCTGCTACCATTAACTGAGCACCTTCTGTTTGTATCAGTCACTGTGCTAAGTGCTAAATGAATTCTTTCACAAGCTAGCATCATCTCCATTTTACACTGGAGCTCAGAAGGGTTAAATAACTTACCCAAGGTCACACAGTTAATTTATGGCAGAGCCAGTTTCGAGCCCTGCTGTACATGACTCCAAAGTCTATAAAAAATGCCCTAGGTTGCCCTGACTGAGTGGGCCCATTCTAAATGGAAACTGGAAGAGCAGAAAAGTGAGAATTTTATTATGGTTATGTTATTAGATTCCTGTTATCAGCTTGTTTATAGCTTTGACTACGGTGGTGCTATTAGGTTTGTGCCTGGGTTACTCATTACACAATGCTTTGTAAAGCAGCATCCACAGGTCATACCAGAACTACAGCAATCGTTTCTATGACAACAAGAAAACTCTTACATAATGGTGTAGTTGGTGTAAAATTTTGTTACTCCATGCCCAGAATCTGGTCACTTTCTGTCAATTTCTGTCCAAGATGGATTGAACTTACCTGGCTCTGAACTTACATCTGAGTAGAACAAAATCTGCTCCCTAGTCTAAACCCTAATTTTTGACAGACTGTTTCCTGAGCTGCACGTTAGTTTCATAAAGAGATCTTTCCAATCTGTGGCTCACATTAAATTGTAGGTATGTCTAAGATATTGTTCCCTTTGGCCTCCAGGGTGGATGTGTGGAACTCTGGACCAGTTGCTTCCAGTGCAAGCAGTCTTGTCTATTTATCCCAAAGTGTTATATAAATAGGACTATTTTTTATGTGTGACAAGACATAAAGCTTTGGAACTCTGTCAAAGAATCTAAAAGCTCGCTGCACAGCGATGCTAACAATGGGGTATTATAGATTTTAGAATAACAAAAAAAAAGTCTTTGCCATAAGAAACGTATGGTCCCTTTCCCATTATTTCCCCTCAGTTACGTAAGCTATACATACTTACAGTTTCAATTTCTGTCAATAGTCCAAAAACCCTCAAATCTTTATTGCCTCTCCCCATGAGTGACCTCCTTTTCTCCTCTCCTCCTCTTTCCTCCTGAGTAACCAAATCTATATTTAAAAATGCTTGCTAGAATATCCACCCCAGATCTCCCACAGTATCAAAATAAACTAATAATAATGATCATTTATTTGAGCACTACACAATCTTATTCGATCTTTAGCAGCAATCCTGTAATTCAGGTTCGAGGATTTTTACAGCTGATAAAACTTTCAGAGAGGTGAGGTAGATCGTCCTGTCATAAAGCTTGTTACCCACTAGTGCGTAAGGCTCAGAAACCATCCCTGTCTTGTGTAATGCCCACTGTATTTCCCATGCTATTTCCCACTGTAATATATTCTCTCTCCCATCACCTCTTCCCTCTGTATTCTTCAGTTAATCAGCTACTGACCAATTCCTTATTCCATATGTGCAGGAATAGGAAGAACAAACTCTTCTGTAATGCTCCTAACAGCACTCTTGCTAATGTGTTTCTGTTGTTCCTGTCCAGTAAATGCCACCAACTAAAGAACAATCCAAACAAGTCATTTTACCTGTTCTTACTTCCAGGCTGCTAAGCACAGTTCAGTGAACTGAGTGACCCCTGACTGCATATGGGATTCACCTGGTAGTCCAGGCCCCACTCCTGACTAACAGAATTACAATCTCAGGAGTGACACACGGGTCATGGTGTGTTCACAAAAACTTCCCAGAGATTCTATGTGTAGCTGGACTTGGGAACTACTGCTCATACCTCATGTTTCTCACTCTGGCCGAGACCCCAACTTTACTCAAAGCCTTTCCTAAACTCTGCTTCCAACCATTACCACTTTCCTCAGCCTTCCCATGGCATCCCTCTCTTCTCAAGCAGGTAGCCTTGCCTCCAGTATCACAGACAAAAGACAGGATGTTGGTATCAACACTCAAATTTCATCCTGGCTTCCTCTAAAGTCATCCATGATAGCACATCTTCCTTCCTCTTCTCTTTCCTCCAGAAACAGTGGTGGTCCTGCTCCTTCTCCTAGCCAGGCCTCTTCACTTATCACACACCCAAGACTCCCTCACCTCCTTTTGCATATGCACCTTCCCCTCAGCCTATATATATGTTCAGGTATTTCCCATGTTTAAAAAGTATTTTTAGGGGAGCTCTGGTGGCCTAGTGGCAAGAAGCTGCACTGCAATCCCAGAGGCGCACGGTTCGAATCCACCAGATGCTCTGCCGGGGAAGGAGGGACAATCTCCTCCTGTACCAGTCAGATCTGATTTGACGGTACACTGACAGAAATTTAAAACAAACAAACAAAAAAATAAAAAGTATTTTTAAAAATCCTATCACCCACATTATCTTCAGCACAAATTCTGTCTAAGATGTTATTTTTGCTATCTCCATATCCTCAATCTACCCATAATCTCATTGTACCCACTTCTTTCAGAGGATGCCTCTAGAAAAGTGCCTGGCCCAAGGTTCTGCTGACCTACCACTCAACAGAAACCCAAAAGCCTGCTTACGTGCTCACCACGCCCACCTCTCCGTGAGCATCTGAGTCCTTCAAGCAGCCCACTACCTCCATACAGCCTTAGTTTCCAGAAGACTACTCCTGCCTAGTTTCCCTCTTCTGTCCAACAGCAGCTTCTTAAGTTTCTTTGCTGACTCTTCTTTCTTTCTTTCTACTCCTGAAACATCAGTGTCCTACAGAGTTCCATCCTCACTGTGACTCTGTATCCTAACAGATTTGACTCCTGCCTGGGAGCTCGTTACTTCTCTTTGACTTTTTTGTCTATTCTAATTCCAGCCTACGCTATTTGATAGAATAGGAGCTCTGGTGGCCAAGCGGTAAGGAGCTGTGCTGACAACTGAAGGCATGTGATTCAAATCCACCAGATGTTCCATGGAAGAAAGATAAGCAATCTCCTCCCATACAATTTAGAGCATCTAACCCGTGAGAGGGTCAGCTCTGAGTTGGCGGTGACTCAACAGCACTACTGATAAAATATCTCCAAATTCAACAATCAAACTAAACAAATTATCTTCCCTTCTGAATTGGCTCCTTCTATATCCCTAATCTTAATTAATAGTATTCATCATCTAACTAGTAACCAAAACCAGAAGTCTCATATTTGATGCCTTAATCACCTTCATTCCCTAAAGGTTCACCAAGTTCTGTTGGCTTAGCTTCTTAAATTCCATCTCTTCTACCATCCATACTGCCTCTATCCTAGTTTAGGTCATTATCATCTTACTGGATGAGTTCAAAGGATTTCAAGTTGGTCCCCCAGCCTTTGGTTTCTCTCTATCTTAGTCAAGCCTCTGTACTACTAGCCTCTCTTTAAAAAGAAAAGAAAAATTCTACTATGATATGTTTTTGCTTGTAAAAACAAACAAACAAAAATATATACTTATAGAAAATAAACCACCTAGGATCATTCTGACAAAACCATTAAAAACCAGCCCCTCTGGTTTGCACACAACTTTACTCAATTTATGTAGCCAGACTTACCTTCCACCATTCCTTCTAAAGGAGAAGGAATTTCTGTACTTGCACACCACACAGTAATTACTCATTTTGTTCTCCTCTTCCAAATTTCCCCTCACTCTTCTGCATCTGCCAATAGGACCTATGTCTTCTGAGAAATTGTTGGATTATCTTGTACCCTAGCTGTCCTGGAAAAAGTCCTAACTCTTGTTTCTGTTTCCATAATACCACAAATTATGTCAAACCCCTGTATTGTTGTTCTGTGTCTACTTGACTATTTCCCCAAATAGACTATGGACTTCAGAAACAATGGACTTCCTCTGATTTTGTACCCTAGCCCCCACCCCATACATTGCTGTAATGTTGAGTTTATTAGAGGAATGGACATCAAGGGCAGTCTTTGTCAGAAATGCCACCTTTCTCTATCTTTTCTAACTATTTCTCAGCTCAAACAAGAAGCCCAGATGGCCCGTGGTCTTTTCCTTTCTCCCCCCATCCAATGCCCAGCTACCTCTGCTCCGTGTATGGCTGAATCTTTTGCACAATGATGTCCGAATCCAGCACCCCCAGGAGGACCCCAATCTGGCGGATGAACATTCCCTTCAGCCTCTCAGTTAGCTGACTGACGTTGACATCCAAGATGATCTCCACCAGGTTGTTTTTCCTGGGATCTGGAAAGCATGTGGATCAGTCATGGCTTTAGAAGTAGGAGAGATAACAGACCTGCCTCTGTGTGTATTCTGTGGCACAGGAAAGGGGAGAATATTGAGAAATGCAACTGACCTTTAAGTTGAAAGAAACAACGGTGAATACTAAAGACCCCATCAGGAGCTGGCATGGCAAGTGTTTAAAGCATTCTTGGTGTCTCCACCAACCTAAGAATCACTATGCCTGTGCTGGGGACAAGTGAAGGGAGGCTGAGAAGAGAGAAGCACTTTAAGGCCTGGCTCATTTGGCTTTGCTAAACTTTCCAGGCCAAGTAATGGGTGGCAAATAACCTCTCCCAATCCTGCTGTATGTGATCTACCTTTGCCCTTTAAAGCAATGCTGGAGAGAGGAATGCAGGGAAGGAGTGGACATCTCAACAACCTTACGAAGAATCAGACCATACCTGTCCCCTTCAGAAAAACAAAGATAATCCAAGCAATCAAGAAATAAGGATTTGTTTACAGCAACATCAGTGCTGCCATATTATCTTTCTATAACTCTCGAGCTGTGAAGCGATTGTGTTTTACTTCTGAATACATCTTACAGACAATTCTACATTTCAAAGGTAAAAGGTAAAAGTGATTGCTCAGAGTATCATATTCACATATGTAGTATGCACACTTTGCCTATTTTGATGTATAATTTAAAGGAGTCCTGGTAGCACAGTAGGCTGCTAACTGAAAGGTCAGCAGTTCAAGCCCACCAGCTCTTCTACGGGAGAAAGATGAAGCAGTCTCCTATTAATATTTACAGACTTGGAGGCCGTATGAATTATCATCACTGTGAGCTGGAATCAATTTGAAGGCAGTGGGTGGGAAGCATAATTTGTAGGCTGTGATCTAACTATTCACATGAGACTTTTCGCACTTTACATGTTATCATTCCTAGAGATAGGACAAGGACTAGGAGACTTCCTAGATCCTTTCCCAACTGAAAAGACATTCAGTGGTAAGGAGCTGCACTGCAATCCCAGAGGCAAGCGGTTCGAATCCACCAGATGCTCTGCTGGAGAAGGAGGGAAAATTTCCTCCTGTACCAGTCAGATCCAATTTGACAATACACACACACACACACACACACACACACACACACACAAAATAATAATAAAGTAATAATAATACATTCATACATGGGCTTGCCCTAGATAACAAAGAGTAGGTTTAACGTTAGTTTGCCTTCTTATCAGATGCTCGGGAATTTCTGAATCTTGGCCCTACCTCCTGTAGTTTTCCTCCCTATTGCCTAATCAGTATCAAAGTAAAACAAAAATTGGTTTTATTCAAGAAGAAAATTTCCTTTCTGCAAATCTGAAAAATATAAAGGACACCAGTTACTTTACCTTCCCTGGATTGTCAGATAAAGCCTCAGGCTTAACTTATAAAAATAAATTGTTTTCTGCATCTGGGCGCTGATGAGACATCATGACTCAAACTATTCCTGTGCTCAAATTTCCAATGCACCGTGAGCCTTGTCTCCTCAGTCACGTGTAGAGGAGAAGGCACTAGATGAGGGGCACAAAGGCCTGGCTCTGACACAAGTGCTGTGTGACACTGAGCAAGCCCTGCCCTCTCTGAGTTACAGTCTCTCCATCTGAGACAATCTGGGAGCGGGCTAATCTGCCTGTGTGAATAGGAGCAGCACTACTGGACTAGACAGTTTCCCCAGGGTTGCTAAGAGTTGGAAGTGACTTAACATGAATGGGTTTTGGTTGGGCTAAGGATTTTTCAGTTTGACTATAGATTTTTAAAACCTAAAAATAAAATCTAGATTATTTATTTAAAAGATAAAAAATACAGGACATTCCATCTTGTCTTGTTCATGCTAGGGGAAAAGAGGTCCTAATTGGCTGGCCCAGCAATCCCACTAGGTCTCATCGCCAAGTGAACTCACCAGGCTTCACCTCCACAGTGGTCTGCTCTGTATCACTCTCACCCTTTGCATCAGTCACTTTCAGTTGAAATGTGTAGGTTCCCTCAACCAGGTTGGAAAGAAAGAGGATAGGATGATGGTCAGAGTGATTTAATACCTCCTGTGGGATTAAAAAATACGGCAATGTTGGAGAAAAAAAACATCATTCCTTTCTGGGAGTCAATCCTTGCTTCTGTAAACTATACCCTCTAAGCCAAAAGGCTTCAACTCTGAGTAATTCCTCTGTAATGATACTGGTGCCCATATCTGCTAGAAAAAGATGAGATAAATACATCATATGCACCAACAGTTTGTGAAATGACTGTGTGCAAGTCATTTAATCTCCCTGGCTGCTCCCAGAGAACAATCAAAGTTCAGTACAAGAGACCACTTGGTTAAAAATACATTCCAGATTATCAGGCTTACCCTCTGCTCCCTATCTTACTACTGACCTAGCATGTCTCCACTCCCTAGCACTTACCCCTGCTGCTGGGCTTCCCTCATCGCGAGTCCAGAGGTAGCTGACTATTCCTTTGTCATCTGAGGACTTGGAGCCATCCAGCTCTGCTGTATTCATGGGCAATGTAATCACCACATTCCCAGTTATCTTGGCTATTGGTGGTTTGTTAATTTCTAACCAAAGAGATAATCATTGAAAGAATGTAATTTTCTGGAAAAGAAGTAATGTTTCTTTATGATGTTCATGGAGGAATTAATCATCAGATAAATCTTAAAACAGAGAACTGCTTTATGTTTCTACCCATGTCAGAAACCAACGAACAGATTTAAAGCCTCCAGCTTGGTAAGCAAGTCCTGGGGCTACAGTCTTACCCAGAGAAATGTTTTTCTGACATGTGTAGAGTGGAAGCAAATTTAACTTTCTCAGAGAGGCCTCCCTAAAAGGAACCTACTTCCCTGCTTTACTGAAATGTAATGATGAGAAATAAAGTCCTGGAATTTAGCTTTCATTCAGACAGACACACACACACAGACAAATCTTTTTAAGTAGAGTTTAAAATGTTACTCTTGGAGACCTTTTTTTCATTCTTTCCTTAGTACTTTAACAACAACAAAAAAAGCCCCAAAACCAAAAAAAAAAAAAAACAAGTGAGAGAATCCTCACTTCACTGGGCCCCTAACTAAAGCTTGCATGCTTACTCAGGGGTTATGTTCAGAATGCTATACCTGAAGGGCACTGTGATCTTCCCTACAATCACCTAAGGATCCCCTCCTGCACAGTCATAACAGTGCCTGTACACTAGTGCAAAGTCCTGCTTATCTCACCGCACTCCAGTACAGCAGTCATTCTACCGTCTTGCCAGCAGGTGTCACTGTAGCTAGCAGGCAAGCCACAGAGACTCCCAGGTCTTAGCACAGAGGCAAAAATAAAAATGTAACCGGAAAAATCCTTAATTCTTTTACCCAGACTACTGTCAGAGGCAGTGCGGTTGGCGCAGGATAGAGCAGGGTTTAGGGCTGTTGTGCATTGGGTCGCTATGAGTCGGAAACGACTCGACAGCACATAACAACAACAACAACAACTGTTTTCAAAATGAGAGAAAAAGGAGGGAAGGGATATAAGACAAATAAGGGAAGGACAAATGAAAGGAGCTTAATTTTAATTAGTCATTCAATTAAAGGTTATTTTTTAAAAAAGCAACAGCCCTCAGCCTAGAAGCTTCTTCCCGTCCCTTGATGTCTCTAATCAAACTCTGGAGCCAAACAAGACATAACTGATTCCTGAGTTCTCTGATCTAAAGGGTCTCCCCCACCACCTCAAGGCAGGGAGGTACCTTCTTTGACAATGACATTCACAGAGCTCTGGCTTTGCAGGTTCCTCTCGTCTTTGACAGTCAAGGTGAACACATAAATCCCCACTTGCAGCCCACTCACAGTAGCGACACTGCTGTTAGCATTCTCGAGCTGCACGCCATCAGGTCCCCTGAACAAAGAGAAACCAGAGGTTCGAATTATACCTGTCTGTTGCTCTCTGGTCCCTGGCTTCTTCAGCTAAGATATGAACTACTATTTAACAGAAATAGTAGAGGACATGTTTAAAAATATTCCATTTGAACAAAGTACCATTTGGCCCCAAAATACAGTATACCTGCTGGTCAGAAAATTCCAGTCACCAGCTTTTAAAGACATTTAGCCTTATCCTTTCTTTATCTGAGCTTTGTAATATTCAAACTCTTTACTCTCAATTTGTAAAAGAAAGTGCCCCACACAGGTCTCTGATCAAAAGAATTACTTAAAAATTATGTTTCTGAAAAGCATTTCTGGCTCAGTAGTTGGTTCAGCTCTGGCCAGCAAAAACCAATAATGCATTTCTTAATCACATGCCAAACCTCTCTAGATGAAAAGTCAAGGAAGGGAAATGGGCCAAGGTTGCAAGAGGACTCTCAGGATAAAACCATCTCCTTATCAAGCAGCTCAATTTCCGCCAGTTCCTGGGCAGGGGCCACAGAGGACCAGGACAGCCAGTATCCTTCCTTTTCTTATGGCCTGAGAGCAGTTGCCGGCAGCACAATGTGAACTCTGTGCCAGCATCGAGATACAAGGCTGCACATAACCACATGACCCTTCTGCTTACAATTATAATAGAGTTTTTCTGTAAAACCCAGAGAAATCAACATCCAGGGTTTGGCTTTGCTTTTTAAATTTATAACCCTTGACCCTAACAATCCCTTTTTTATAAAACAGAATCTTCCTCTAGGAAGCTATGCTAAGCACTATCTCTGCTTTAAACACTAATAAAACGAAACCAAAGGTTTATTAGCCGTATCTTCAGCAAACAGTTACAATTAAAACACACTGGGCTGAGGAAGATTAGATTCTTTAAAAGATAGAAGCAAGAGCCTAGGGAAATAATTTCTGGAATCCAATTCAGGTAATCACCAATCAAATGGTTTCTACAGTTAAATTACAATCCTACTCCACCCATATCTAACACCCTAGTCAAAGAAATAAAAAAATTTAAAAGACCAATCTGACTTGTGATTGTTAACTTCATGGAATTGAAATTCTTCCTTAGAATTCCTTTTCTTGTTGTAGGATCCTGCATAAATGAGTTCCTTTTTTTTTTTTAAGTTCCTTTTTTTGGTTTAATAAACCTTATTTGGCTTCCTTTCATTCTGAAAACCAGGAATGGTTCGTTTAGTTTATTAATACTGTCTTGGTTACTGCCCTTGGCCTCTGGCTAACATAAGTGGTAAAAAAGTGTTTTTAAGGAAATAGTAACAGATTTATGCTTTCATTTTGCAGATGAATTTTCAATTTCCCTTAGTAGCGATTCTGCCCCATACCCCCTACTAGTCTGACCCACTTAATTTTGAGCAACAGTATTTTCCTGCTCCATTACCCTTTCCATTCTGCCTCTCAAGCATAATTAAACTCTACATTTCGGGTGACGGATTATACCTGTTAAAGCACTACAACCACACAGTACTATCTGGGGGCTAGGTGATAGGAAGCTTTCTATTTTCTTTATAAATAATACCTATGATATACTTTTCTTAAGACTGGAGTTTAGGGTTATAAACTCTTTCTCAGTAATCTCCTGGATAAGCCAGAACAAGTTAAATGTAAGCAACTCCTTTTACCAAGGTGTACAGGTTTTGTATAAGTTATGTGTCAATACTCACTGTGTTTTTTCCCAGAGATAGGAGGTAATTTTCTGATCATCTGAGCTTTTACTACCATCCAGTGTTGTGCTATCTACGGGCAGGATCAACTCTTTATCAGGGCCTGCGTCTGCCTCAGGAGGTTTGTTGTTTTCTAGAAGACAGAGACTTTAAGAGGTCAAACTCCAGCTGGGAAAGCAGAAAAACCAATTGGAATGTATGTTCTGGAAGCCACAGGGATTCTGCCTCTCAACCTACATAAAAGAATTCTGAAGGAAGAAAAGGATAACCAAGCATATGCCAGACTAAATTTGAAACATAATGCTATAGCAGCTCAAATCAGTGTTCGAATGCTAAAGAAGGTGTTCTTGAGAAAATGTACTTTAAGCTGACTCTTAAAAGATATAGTAGGATTTGGGATGGCAGGCACTCTTGCTCCTAGGTTCCCTTGATGATCTTATAACTAGCCAAGAGCAAGAGTCCAAGTGAGGACTGTAAAATACTCTTTTTCTCTAGCTATGAAAAGGCTCAGAAGGAATAAACAACAGAAGCTTCTAGAGGTCTCATGGATTGGTGTCTCTTGCTTCTAACCTCACACAACTCAGAATAACAAACACAGAAACAGTAACTGAGTAATGCTTTCATTTTGTAGATTAATTTTATACTTCCCTTAACCCAAGTTTTGAGGGACTAGCTAATAAAAGAATTTGCACCAAAAGGCTAGAACCTACCAGGCTGCACAATAACAGTCACATGAGCTGTGGCCTGCTGTCCTATCGTGTCGGTCACCGTGAGCTGGTAAGTGTAGTCTCCTTCTTGCATTGCAGAGAGCTGCAGGATTGGTGTTCTAACACCCTGTATTGATAAACCAGACAAACAGAAAGTCAAATACAATAATCTGAAAATCACACAGTAACTCCTGTTCTTATACAAATGTTTTACTCAGTTTATAAATCCAAGGTGGTACTGGGACTATTATCTCTCAAGTCAGCAAAATCTGTGAATGCTGAATCAGATATTTAGGGATATATTACTAAAAGTTCAAAGAAACAACCTTCCCTGACACAGCAGCAGTTTCAAATAAAGCCAAAACTCTCAAAAGGGAGGGAAGCAAGGGAAAATATGCAGAGATAACTAAACTAGGATCAGTCTCTGTAACCCAAGCCAGGGAGAACAATGTGAGCATATAATGAAACAAAACAGTTTAAAAAATAATGTTTAATAAATTCCTCTTCCTATTGAGGTCACAGAGTGAACCTAAGAAAGGCTTCTCAATAAAGTATGGCAGTAACTCAGGCTGCCTGGTATCATGCTGTTATCTTATAGATTTGCATAGAATCTGCAGCATCAGAAAAATCTATCACAGCTCTTCAACTAAAGCCAGGTAAGATGTAGGCTTAAACTCACGCCCAAAGCCTAGAATCACAGAATTTAGAGTGTAAGAAGAATGTTATAAATAATTTGGGGCAAACTTTGAGTTTGTCCAGTTTATGGACATTAACTTGCGGTTCATGACCTTTCCTAGAGCAGCGGGGGAAATGTGGTAACCGAAAGGCTGAATCCAGTTTGCAGAAAATGTATTAGGCTAGGATATTTTGCTGTTGTGTACTGCTGAGTCCAAAGAGAGCCGTAACTGACCCTCTAGCACATTTTCTAAGGCATGGGAGGAGACTGCCCATGCTTCTCCTACACAGCAACTGGTATATTCAAACTGCAAGCCTTTAGGATTGCAATGCAGCTTACTAGTAGGTCATCAGAGCTCACTATGACATCTTAGAAGTAGGAAATTTTCACATACAGGTTTCAATTTTTTATCATTATTTATTTACTTGTACTTATCAATACTAAGAGCATACGGCCACATAGCAAACAGCCAGCTGTACAAGAGCCTTTAGTCAAAGATTCAGCTCTCTAGATTGTCATAGCTGACACAGTTTTCTTGATTTAATACAGTTTCTTAATTTCACTTTGCCTGTGACAGATCTAGTCTCTTCTTTGTTCTTTCAAGAGAGAGGCTTACTACATGGCTATCTAAGTTATAGAGTTCAGTAAAATTTTGCACTTCTAGAGTCTATATAGTTTAACTCTTCTTAAATCATATGAGAAAAACTAGTAACCTTTCTGCTCTAGGATTTTCCTCTAATATTAAATATTTTCTGGATATAATTTTTTGCTAATCTTGTAACTCAAGGTACATTAAATATTCTAGGCTTATAGGGGGCTTTTTGTTGATCTAATTCTTTTAAAAACCAAATCTGACTTGGATAATTTAAATGATGCCGAAACAAGCCTTGAAAGGTGATCCAATCCAGCAACTCTAGTTCTCCTGGGCAAGATAAGATAGTAACTACTCCCTCCTACCTGCATCTCCACCACTTTTCCTTTGCTGCGTGGGCTGAGTGACCATTCATAGCTTGTGATACCGTGATCATCAGTGCTCTGGTTGCCAAAGAGGGTGATGGAGTTCTGGGGCAGGGTGATCACTTGATTGGGACCTGCATTGGCCACAGGGGGATAATCCACGGCTTTGTTGACGGTCAAGCTTGCAGTAGTAGAGTTGGTAGCACCATCAGAATCTACCACAGTCAAGCTACCAAAGCAGAGAGAGGAATACAATCAGGGATGGGATGAAGGAAAAAAGAATAAATATTTGAAGACAAGGCTAATAAATACAGCTAGTAAGTGTCAATCTTACCCATTCCTCTTGGAAAGGCAGAGTGTAATAGGAAACATTAGCATGGACTGAGTGTTTACTACGTACACTATTCCAAATGCTTCACAATCCAGTGAATCCTCACAACAGCTATATATAAAGTATATTCCTCATTTAACATATGAAGAGACTGAGGCAGAAAGAGCTAAAAATAACTTGTACAAAGTCACACATTTTCAAAGCATCAGAATTAGATCTCAATCTAGGTATATGTCTCTACAACCACCATATTATATTATCTTCAAATATCAGCATGCTAGGATCTTTACAAGGCACATAAAGGTGTGATATAGTCTCATAATAACCTTACAAGAATAAATATCTTGGGCAGACAGCCTCTGGAATGGAAAAAGAGGGTTGGCCCTAGTAAGGTATGAGCCTGAGATGAAAATAAGTTGTTCTATGCTATCACAGTTCAGTAGCTTGTGCCAGTGTGAAATAGGATTTGCAAGAGAGGAAAAAAATTGTTCATGAGTAAGAGCAGGCTTTTACCTAAATGATGCCTTCCAGCTGAACAGCCTAAAGCTTCTCATGCCACCTCAAAATGTGAGCATAAGCAAGTAAGAAGGCTTGGGCTCCTTCCATTTTGCTGACAGAAAGAGGAAAAGCATAGAAAAGACATATATAGTTTGTTTGATTCTCACTAACAGCCACAAACTAAGCCAGGCATCTACATATTTTTATTGTATAAATCCCGTTACCTACAGTCTGAAGAGGACTTTTAAATATGACAGTCTTTAGAAGGAAAAGAAAAGCCATACAATACATTCCATAATATGTGCTAATCAGCAAACATCTGGGGGGAATATCCTATAGAAATGTTGCCTCTAGTCTGTTTCCTTGTTGTTTTTCCATATCCTACTTGTCCTCCAGAACTGAAAAAAGCAAGTTAAAGACAAAGAGCAACAAGGCAGGTAGCTGGCCATTGACTGCTCTCTCACACTGAACAGTCCTCGGATTGCTTGCAGAGCTCCTGGAACCAAACACTGGAAAAGAGGCTACTGCTAAGTAATGTGGAGACAAGGAAAAAGCACATGAGCTGCACCTAGACTGGTACTTTAAAAACTCATCTGATCCAATCTTATCAGGTCATGTTAAAAAACCTAAAATTAAAAAACAAACAAACAAACAAAAAAAACTCATCTGATCCAATCTTATCAGGTCATGTTAAAAAACCTAAAATTAAAAAACAAAAACAAAACAAAACCTAAAACTAGTCATTGCTTAGGAAAGAATCACTACTAATAACCAAGCCACACAAAACCTGTAACATCTTAGTTAAAGCTCCAACTCTAAATTTGGTGTGACCTAGGGCAAGTTACTTAACCTCTAAGTACCTAAATTTCCAAATCGGTAAACAGACAATAATAATAATTCCTACTGAAAGGATTAAATGAGATACTGCAGGCAAAGAATTCAGAACAGGACAGAGTAATGTTTAAGAAATATTAATTACTATTTTGAAAAGAATCAACCCAGCCCAGGCTAAATTCATAAATGAGAAAATATGTATATAGGAAATATAAGGTAAAAATCAACTCAAATTTCCATTTTCAACCAATGAAAAGGCTTCATTATTGTTGGCTTAGCAGCTAACCTTTTCATTCACCCAAGAACAACTTTATTAGTGATCAAAAGATTATACTAAAAATTAATTAACTTTATATATTTTTGGTTGGGATTTTTTTAAAAAAATTTTATACTGGTTTAATTACAAAGTTTGAATACATTGTTTATCAGCCAAAGTCTTAAGTCAAAATTTGCATATTTATTTACATGGGAGTTGTTGTACTAAGACCTTTATCTCTTTCTAGTGTTTAAAACTTTACTAAAGATCCAGTGATGGGGAGCTCTGGTGGCCTGCAATCCCAGATGCATGCAGTTCGAATCCACCAGGTGCTCTGCTGGAAAAGAAAGCGCAATCTCCTCCTGTACCAGTCAGATCCGATTTGATGGTACACTCACAAAAAATAATTTTTTTTTAAATTAAAAAAAAAAATCCACTGAGAGAGGACAGTAGGTACCCATGAATAAAACAGCACTCCAGGTTCAATGCCATTTAAAGGCACTAAGTATAAGAGGAAAAGAAGACAGACATAGCCTCTCCATTCCAGAGAGATCTCAAAGAGTCTGTAGAAAGTAAACTTGTCCTTAATGATGGACAGAACTCCAAAAGACTGAGAAGAACATTCAAGGAAGCATAAAGAAAATATATTTGAGTCAAGATCAGACATGGAGTTCTGACATGGGGGTGAGAAAATATCTGCACTGATATCACAGTGAGCAGTGTGACCACAGAGGACTTACTAAGCATACTCAAAGCCTCATTTTTTCCCCCCAGCTTTAAAGTGAGGATGGTAGTATTTGGTGTTTGCATTATGTCTATATAAGTGCTTTGTAACATGCAGTCAATTACACAGATATAATAAAGATTAATCCACAGTCAGGCTCAGCCTCTCATTAACTCTTATTAATCAAATTCTAAAATGTCAACACTAGTACTCAAAAGGACTTTCTTTGAGTCAATTCTCCAAAAGCCACAAAAGAGAAAGATAGTGAAACCACAAAGGATAACGGGGGGGCCCTTTCATTACTTGAATAGATATTCTAGACAATCTTGGACATCAGTCATGCAAAGTTTTGAAGAGGTGAATGTATGGTAAATTTAGACACCCTATGCAAACTCTTACCCTCAAAAATAGTTACTGTCATAATCACAATCAGTGTTGATCTCAAAGAACCAGGAGAATCAAAACCTCTATTAGCAATCAACTCTAGAATGAATCTGCTATTTGTCAAAGTTGCTTCTATAAGACTATAAACCCCACAAAGAAAACAATGATTGTGGTAAAGTAGAGGTAAGATCATGATTTACCTGAAAGTGTAGTTCCCAGGAACGAGCTTACTTAGTTTTAATATGGCTTTGTCTTCAGAAATCTTTTCTTCCCTCAGAGGTCCTTTTAGTTCTTCCCAATGGTACTGAACGATTCTATCATCATCAGTGCTTTCTTGATCATAAAGAAACAATAGTTACAACACAACAACACTGGGTCTTATCCAGTTTACACAAATTAGGCAACTACCAGTAATTTGAGGTTAGGGAATCTTTATGAAAGTACAGACTATCTCTCCAGACTATTTCTTCCCTAGACATACTGAGTCATTCTCCCTCTCTACGAATATTCCATAGCATAGTTTTCTAAGGACTCCAACAGAGGCAATCTCTGATTAAAATGCTACTGCATGAAGAAAGGAAAACCAACACTTGTTAAACATATGAAAAGCTACTCTACCTCACTTCAATTAAAATAAATGCAAATTAAAAGTATAGTTGACAATTTTTAATTGGTAAAATATCAAACTTTAATAATATATAATATGGGTAAAAGTATGGAGATAGAGATAATATTATCTCTAAGTCATGATGGACAAAAACCTGATACAAACTATAAAGAGCAATTCAGGAGCATTCATCAAACTGCCAATGTATATACTTTTTGTCCTTATAATTCCTATCATAGCAATTTATATTTGCATGTATGTAAATTGTCATGTTTTGTCCCACTAATCACAGTAGTTTCATTTTTAATAGCAAAAGACAGAAGTCAAAAGTTGTGCAATGATACTTGAGATGGGGAGATAAAAGTTGCAGATCAACAGTAATTAATTATATAAAACACAAAGTACAGTAATGACTGTATAAAACAAAATGCACATGAATGAAACAATGTATATGATTAATTGTATAAAAGTGAATGATGGTATGAATTTTTTTAAAAAAAGGACTGCAAGTAATCTATATGGTTACCAGAAGAAATGTCTCAGTGGATTTTGCTGACGCAGTAACTATAGCAATGGGCTCATCAAGCCTAATGGAAATTGTGAGGATGATACAGAAGAGGGTAAGGTTCAGATCTGTTGTTCATAAAGTCGCTACCAGTCATAGTTGACAGGATGGCATATAAAACAACATATAAATTCTTGCTATCACTCCCTAAGTGCCATTTCCTGTTCTTTTTTCTTCACTCTTAGACTCTTATGATCCTAATTTCCTTTTTGCCAGAGTCATCTACATGAAATGCTTATCTTTGCTAGAGATTCCTCTACTAAATCAGTGACTGCAGTGGCAAAATCCACTGCTGGGTGCCAAGGCAGTCAGAGTAACAGAGCCTTTATGGGTTTCAAAAGAACTCATGCAAATATGGTGAGTTAGGGGCCTAACATCTCCTGCACACACACTCTCAGAATCAACAGCAAAGACTCAGAAATCATCTCATCTTTCCCATCAGAGGACAATGCCCTGAAGGATAAAACCTTAATGAACCCAGACAGAGAGGTGGCGTTAATTCTATAGGTCTCTCCAGCAGAAGGCTGACAAGAACCTTGTTAAGTAGTAATGATTGATGAGAGCTCCTCATCAGCCTCTCAATTACTTTATCTTGCTATGAGAGGAAGGAGCTTGTTTCTGTAACTGAGAAAGGAAATTTGGTCTAAGTAAATCTGAAAACCAATGAGCTTCAACTAGAAAAATACTAACTAGAATAATACTAACTACCTGTAAAATCCCAGAAATACTGTTTCAAATAAGCCATAATGGGGGTTTTCAATAGGACCTGTCAGGCTTATTAATTCCTAATCAGTTTCTTCAGATGGGTTAAGAATACTCAAGACAAGTGCAACCACTATGGAAGGCGGTATGGCGCTTTCTCAAAAAGTTGCAAACAGACATATCATTTGACCCAGCAATTCCACTACTTGGAATATACCCCAAAGAGACCATAACCGCCATACAAGCAGATATATGCACACCCATGTTTATAGTGGCTTTGTTTACAATAGCAAGGAGTTGGAAACAACCTAAGTGCCCATCAACAAATGAATGGATAGAGAAGCTGTGGTATATTCACACAATGGAATACTACGCTGCATTGAAAAACAAGGAACTCATGCAATATTATTCAAAATGGGTGACCCTGGAGGACATTATGCTGAGTGAAGTATCTCAGTCACAAAAGGACAAATACTGCATGGTGCCACTGTTGTAAAACAGGACTGTTGCATTGAAAAACAAGGAGCTTATGCAATATTATTCAAACTGGGTGACACTGGAGGACCCTGGGTGAAGTATCTCAGTCACAAAAGGACAAATACTGCATGGTGCCACTATTGTAAAACAGGACTGACCTCGGGGTTGCGGGGAGCCTGAGAAAGATGGGCTCAATAATGTGTACTGCACTGAAACAGATGAGGGAGAAAACTGTTTAAAAGGGATATATGATTAGGTATTTTTGTCATGATGGGAGTTCAGAGCAAAGGCTGCATAGTAGAGTGGACCTGGGGGGAGGGATTGTAAGAAAGAATTTTTCTTTTACTTTTCCAAGAGGAAAGTGTACTGGGGAGAAGGGTTGGGTGGGGAGAAGAGTGCAACAATGAAAGAATGTAATTCCAAAGTCTCTGTAAATTTTCATTGAAATTAATAATAAAAAAAAATTAAAATACTCAAGACAGAATGCAGACATACTGACCCCAGATCTTCTGCCAAAGTATTTCTACCATGTAGTTTTCAAAACAGCATGCCTGAACAAGTACTCACGGCTGCCATCAATGACTGTGGATGTGGTTGGCAGAGAGATCTCCTGGAACGGTGGTGACACGATGGCAACAGGAGGCTGGTTCTTACGGGGCTCTGCAAGAAATAACACAGAGAAAAATTAGAAGGCCTTTATCAATTACAAGAAAAACAGACCATCTTATGTAGACTATATATCAGTTTTCATAATATAACTGATAGCTCAACCATGTTCAAATGGATGGTTGCAAGACAAAGTTGTTAATTCTTTTTTTTTTTTTGCTTCCTAGTCAAAGTTGTTAATTCTAACTTAAGACATCTGGATTAAGTTGGTGTACCACCTCCCCACTGCTGAATTTGACTAGGGAGCGGGATTTAGACATCTGGAAATGTAAAAACTGCTCATTCTTAAAACCAGGCCCATATGCTATCATCAATGCACATGCTATCTGCTCTGTGAAAAGTACTATGGCAGCAAGTGACCACTTTCAAGCAAGTCTGACTAGAGGAGGGCAACAAAGTAGCTTTGTGCAATAATAGTCATATCAATGAAGCTATTTCTGTTCTGAAAAGGTTGTGAGTTATTTCTCAACCATTTCTATGCTGTTGAGTAAGAAGAACATGCTTGAGTGAAAGAAAGGTCCTAAACTTCTCTAGTTCACTTGGAAGCTTAAACTCGGTTATTGTTGAATACCATCAAGTTGGTATGGGTAAGAAATAACTCAGAAAAAATTAGGAGAGGGCCTTTATCAATTACAGGAAAAACAGACCATCTTATGTAGACTATAAATCAGTTTTCATAACATAACTGATAGCTCAGCCATGTTCAAATGGAAGACCCATAGCTGACCCTCCAGCAGATTTTCAGAGGCTGTTAATCACACAGGAGGAGACTGACTCTAGCAACTTTTTATTTCTTAAAAAAACGATAAAGTACAAAACAACTATGAGATACCATCTCACCCCAGTAAGATTAGTAAAGTTTGACAGAACAGCAAACAACAAATGCTGGTGAGGTTGTGGAGAAACTGGAACCCTTATTCACTGTTGTGGGGGTATAAAATTGTGCAACCACTAAAGAAGGTGGTATGGTGCTTTCTCAGAAAGTTGGAAATAGAAATACCATTTAACCCAGTAATTCCACTATTGGAAATATACCCCAAAGAAACCATAACTGCCACCCAAGCAGACATATGCACACCCATGTTCATTGTGGCTTTGTTCACAATAGTAAAGACTTGGAAACAACCCAAGTGCCCAGCAACAAATGAAGAAGTTCTGGTATATTCACACAATGGAATACTATGCTGCATTGAAAAACAAGGAACTTGTGAAATATTATACAAAATGGGTGACCCTGGAGGACATTATGCTGAGTGAAATATCTCAGTCACAAAGGAACAAGCACTGCATAATGCCACTGTTATAAAACAGGACTGACATTGGGAATAGCTGGAATCTAAGTAAACAGGGTTTAAATCGATATTTGTTCCTATCCCAAAGAAAGGTCACCCAACAGAATGGGGAAACCACAGAACAATCTCACTGATCTCACATACAAGCAAGATTTTACTGAAGATTATCCAAAAACGACTGGAACAGCACATCAACAGAGAACTACCAGAAGTACAGGCTGGGTTTAGAAGGGGTCATGATACTCGAGATATTGTAGCTGATGTTAGATGGATCTTGGCTGAAAGCAGGTAATACCAGAAAAATGTCTGTTTCATTGACTAT